GAGGCCACAACAGTGAGAGGCCTGCGTACTGCAAGAATACAAAAAAAAAATAAACAAATATATATATATATATATATATATATAATGATATAATAAGTATAATTTTTAGGAATGAATGTTAATTACATATAATTTAGGAATATTAACAGGATATGGTGAAAAGTTTATTGGAGAGCAAAGGAAGAAAGACATAGCAAGCTTTGCTCTGTATCTACATAAACCGATAAGGTCATCTTACTGTCCTTGCAGAGGTGGAAACTCTCCATGGTAGAAATTAGAGCTGTGACACAAACTTCACTGAAAGGCTAGTTTGACAGGATTTATTGTTGATCAAAATATTATACATTTTTTTCCTCTGAATTTTTATCATTTCTGGCCTAATCAGGGAATGCAAATTCTTTGAAAAAGTTTTATCTTTCTCAGGTAGGTTTCAAGTACTATCATGCTTTGTACAGGGAAGATATTTTTTATCAATAACCATACATTTATTATAATGTTGGAAAGTATTTTTCTCAACAAGTGCCTCATTTAAATAATTGGGGGAAGCATATGAATTCACAAGCCCATGAAAAATGATCACAACGCCATACGAAAGTATTACTTTGTTCATGACAGAAATATTAACTTGTCTTTGGAAATATTTTCTGGCAAAATAAAGGTCTGAATATAATCATTTGAGTTTTTAGGAGGGTATTAGAGACACATTTTCTAAAACAATTTAATGTGGACACATTTTGAATTGTGCGGGTTTATTATTATTTATTTTTTTTGCGGTACACGGGCCTCTCACTGCTGTGGCCTCTCCTGTTGCGGAGCACAGGCTCTGGACGCGCAGGCTCAGTGGCCGTGGCTCACGGGCCCAGCCACTCCGCGGCATGTGGGATCTTCCCGGACCAGGGCACGAACCCATATCCCCTGCATCAGCAGGCGGACTCTCAACCACTGCGCCACCAGGGAAGCCCTGTGCAGGATTATTTTTGAAGAACTTTAGAAAATATTAAGGAAAAATCCTTCAAGTTTCCTTTCCTGCAATACAGTAAACCTGATTTTCTGACTGCAAGTCAAAAAAAGTCTTGTGTAAATTCATGAGGAAGCTGTTCACTCCTTGAGGTAGAGGAAAGCATGTCAGCAGGAAGCAAATAACGACTCTCACTTTTCATGATATTTGGTGAAGCAAGTCAGCACATGTCCTGTTAACTGGCTTCCAATTTTTCTCTATTTCTTTTTGACACAAAGCTCTTGATAAAGAGGGGCAAACTTAAGTTTGAGCCTGAGAATATGGGGATTATGCTTTGCTAAGGAATTTTAAAATTCGGAACTGTTAGAAGAATTTGGAAGTGAGTCCCAAAGCAGCTTTTCTTCACTTGGAAGCGAGGAACTTGTGTAACCTGGAGCACAGGGAGTGGGTTGAGGTGGGAGCGGGCACCGGAAGAATGAAAGGAAGATTGATTTTGGAGATTCAAATGGAAATTCATCCTACTTAAGGGCTGACCCATCAACTGCCATTACCTGGATAAACTGTTGATGCTATGGATTTGACCCTGGGGGCGTCTATTGTGAAAAGAAACAAAACAAACAAAAAATTAGGGTGGAGAATCCATATTCCCATCCCAACCCTATAAAAAAGACCATATTTCATAAACAGAAGTGAATTTTCAAACATGATTTGTACATAGCTATGCCAAATGATAGATGTATTGGACTGAATTTAGTATTCAGTAGTTTGACATCCTATCTCTTCTTTGGTGTTTTGACCTTGTCATTTACACATCCTTCATTTGAAAATACTTAGAAGCAGCAGAGCAAAAACAAATCCTCCACTTACTTTTCTGGTGCTGGTCTATTTAAAATTATAGCAGGAAGTTAACCTTCATTATCTAATATTTAACCACTTTCTATGATATTTATATATTTTCTTCTACCTTATCAGTTAAATATATGCATTATTAAATTGTTACATTCGTTATGGATGTGAAAATTTATTTTCTTCAGTAGAAATCTTCAGCTTTTAGTAACTTGGAAAAATTTCATTGAGAGAATAAATCTTAGGTATTCAGAGAAGCATATCATGTTATATGCAATCTGTTCTTCATAATTTTTTTTTAACAGTCCAAATTACAGATTATTAGCCCCTACATTCCTACCCTTTAAATCTATTAAAGAGAAATCACTCATATCAGTTCATGAGGAATGGCATGATCTGTATCTTCAGCATATGGGGAAAACCCATAGATGAAGTGATAATTACTGTAATGTGTTGTGACCCCCCTTGGATTAAAAAAATGCTTTAAACACGAAGAAACAATAAACTTGATTCTCCAGAGAGCTCTAAAGGAGAATCTGACTTCCCTGTCACTTAGAGTATTATTTTCCTAGATTTGAGCTTCAGTCCAACTCAGAGTAGAGGGTAGTATGTATGTTTGGGTGAGCCTCACCCTGCTTGAGAATTCTTCCTTTGGGTTGATGGGCTGTGTCTCTTAGAGTTCTCCAATATAAATATATACATTCCTGAGGTGAGTGTAAATAAATTAATTTAACAGATTATTTTAACTTTAGCAAGGCCTTTGGGTAAATAAATCACAGAATCAAATTTTGGTGGGAAGGAGAAAGAGAAATAAGTAGAGAATGATAGGGTCTCAAACAAACTTTGGACTGTCAGCACAGCACACGGGCCCTGGGAAATAAAGAGAAGAGGATAAAAGAAGTTGCAGGAGCCTTAGATAAATGTCATCTACTTGTTAGTTTTGCTTGGACCAGACTGCTCAGGAAGTGCCTGTGAGCTCTGATATGTCTTTATGTGCTTAGCATACCCAAAAAGCACACCTTTGCACCAATAGGCCCCTTCTCTTGAGTTCCTCATTTCAGTTGAGAACCAGTTATCTTAGTGACTCATGTCTTTCTGTCTGCCTGCTTATTAACGTATTTGCTATAACCTGCAGATTGTACACAATACCTCTCATCTATTTCTTCCTTTACATTCCGATTGCCAGAATCAAGTTCAGGACTTTATCACCTTTTGCCCAGATTAATAATTGCTTTCTAACAAGAAGTTATTATGTCCAATACTCTCTCTGCTCAAATCCACTCAGATTTTTTCTCTAGAATTGCCCTAAACTTGTAATATTTCTGCGACAAAACATCAGTGACCACTCATTGACAGACAGCAACCAAATTGACTATAGACTTCCTTTGCTGACATTCAGAGTCAGCCACAATAATGGCCAGTTTCTCTTTTAAGCTCTTCTACTGTCATTCTAAATAGCTGCCCAACTCATTGCTATTTTATGATCATGTCCCGTCAAATGCTTGCAGGATGCAGTCTGAAATCTTTATGTTGCCACCACCTGAGGTATGCTCTTCCAAATCTCTTGCTCAAATGCTGTTCATTAAATATCCATTTTAGATACATTCTTTACAAAAATTTCCTGATTTTTCTCAACTAGATGTGATCAGTTTTTCCTTTGAATCATCATAAAAATGTAAACAACCTCCATGCTGATCTTTGTTTTTTCTTTTCTATTATAGTGTTCATATTTTTATTTGTTTCACCTTTTAGATTGTAAACATGTTAAAGGAAGAAACAGTATTTTATTATTTCCCGTATCTTCTATACATCTTCTATACATTGAGAGTACATCTCAATGCCTTATATAAAATTAAAGTTCTGTAAATATTTGTTAGATTGAGAGTAATGTGTCATTGATACATAAAAAATTGATGTAATGTACTCTTAAGCATCCCACTGGGAAAGAATATTTAGAATACACATGAAGGTACAGCTTAGAATAAAAGGGAATGTATTGTTTTTTCAAATGATTTTGGTTGATGGTAGGATTAAAAGGTGGTATATGACCTTGCTGGTTCAAATGAAATGAAATCTCAGAAGCATGGTTCTTTTATTTTCAAATCCCTATATAAATATGGTAGATAAACTTAGGAAATTGCTTTGGCTCACTGAACTTGTGGAGTGACCAACTGGGAGATAATATACATATATAATATATATAATTAGTATAATAGTCATCTTTGCTTATTCATTTCTATCAGTTGGAAAACTAGAGACTTTTTTGAAGTCAGTGAAAAGTCTAAGAATCCCTACCACATTCTCTCTAATAAAAGGGAAATAGCTGCTGAAGTACAAAGTATCACAGACATTTTAGTTAGTAACTAAGCCTATTAACATTAACAGAAATGAAACATATCTTATATTTTTTTTAAAGTCAGGCGTATAATATCTATGGCAAGTAACATAGGGTACTTAGTGCCTTAAATTTGATTCCTAAACATGGCAAAATTAGAACACCACCCCCAGACCCTCCCTGAGTTATTTCTACTAGGGTAAGGCTTTGATTTCAAATGTTGATAATATATGATTAAGAAAATATTCTTCTAGGAATTCATATTAAACAAAAAGAATATGGTAAATATGTACAAGTTCAGTATCCAGAATTATTTTGCAGTACCTAGCTCATTTTATGATTACTCCTTACTATCAAAATACAAAGACAGTATCAACCTCTGACTTTTATGTTTCCTCTGGTCACACTAAGTAAGAGTCTTTTTTTTTTAGCTCCTTCCCCCCTCCTATTTTGCCTAGGGTAAGATGGAGAGGGGACAAGAGTGGTTAGGTAGGAGAAATGTGTGCTTTGTGGTGAATTTTATCTTGTCTATAAAATAATAGAATCATATAATAAAACAATAAGATTATGTAGAAATTATGGATGGAGGTATGTTGTTAACTGAAAATTCTTCTGTAGTTGTTATAAGATATAAACCTGAAAAATCACTGTTAATAATTATATATATATATATATATATATATTTCCAGTTAGTTTTTAGGGACATTGCATAGGCAAAATATTGTTTATAAACAATAAATTATTTTCTAATTTCACATACTCTAGAATAATGGTCAAAAAAGTCTTTAAATCAATACATTTTATATGTATTTGCTATTAAAATATATATTAATATTCTAGTGGCTTTAATTTATGTCCTTCTAAATGTTTTATTCTTTATCATTCATTTAGTTACTTCACCTCGAAAGAACCCCAATCTTTCCATAATAAACTTCTCTAAACTAATATCGACATCGCACAAGTTTTTGGAATGCTTTCTTGAAGTCTTCATTAAAGATTGTATAAATCAGTGGGTTTATAAGGGAATTGAGATATCCAAGCCATGTCAAAAAATTTGACATTTCTTCAGAAATTTTACACTTTTCACAGATATTAACAACCAATTCTTTTACAAAAAAAGGAAGCCAACATATTACAAATGCACCCAAGATTAATCCCAGGGTAGTGGCTGCTTTTCGTTCTCTTGTGCCTGAGATCTTTTGCCTTCTCCAGGATCTCTCATGCTTGAATTCAGACCTGGGGCTTTTCACTGTGCTATGAATTTTATCAAAGTCCGTTGGATCAGATAAAGACTTTTCTAGCATGTACGGTGTGGAGACCAGTCTAATGCTTTTCTCACCACTCCCCAAAAGGTGACCATTCAGCTCCTCCTTGGCAATCCTACTTGCTTGCCTCTTGTGGTATAACGTCTTTGCTGCTTTATATATTTTGTAGTAGAGGATCAAAATCAATGTTAATGGGATGTAGAAAGCTCCAAATGTTGAGTAAATAGTGGAAACAATGTTGTCGTGTTTGATGATGCACTCATCCTCTCGGCTAGTTCCTTGGTGCCTCCAGAATAGAGGAGGCATAGAGATTAAAATAGATATAATCCAAACTATGGTAATCATAATGCCAGCATGCTTGGGAGTCCTTTTCCTGGCATACTCAACAGCATCTGTGATTGCCCGGTACCGATCCAAAGCTATAGCAGAGAGATGCAAGATGGAGCAAGTGCAGCACGTGATGTCAACGCTTAGCCAAATATCACAGACCACTTGCCCCATAATCCAGCTCTCTCTCACAATATACACAATGCTGAAAGGCATCACCAGGACAGCTACAAGAAAATCTGTGACTGCAAGGGAGCAAATTAAGTAGTTGGCTGGGTGGTGTAGCTTTCGGGTCACAATAATGGCAGCGATCACAAGTGAGTTAATGGTCGTCGTCATCAGTGCCAGCCCAGAGAGAATGAAGGACACCAGAATTTTGGATGGCATTCTGTCGAACAGTTCTTCTGAGGTCAAGTTTTGATCAGATGAGTTTAAGAAATCCATTTTTTGTTTGATTTAAAAGATTAATATAGCTGAAAGAATGGACACCTGTAACAAAGGAGAGGAAAAACAGTTCAGAGAAGGCTTCAAAGATTTTTCTCTTCCTTTCAGAATAATTTTTTTTAAAGTATACATGTATCTTTTTCCAGAATAGTCTATGGATTAAAAACGTGGAGTTCAGATAGCAGATTTTCTTTTTCTTTACATTTAAGAAATACAATAAGAACAGTAAAAAACAATAGCTTTAAAAACATTTTCTTAAAATAGGGTTCAAATAAAACAATTTTTATGCATAAAATAACCTATCACTAAAATCTCTACTATTATGAAAGTGTTTAAAACCTATATTAATATTAGCTATGTTTTTCTCTTTGTCTACAGCAGAAAAAGTTTAAAAGCACATGTCATTAGTATGTATTTGTGCATTATATAATGTAATATAAGAAAATATCATTTTAAAGGCAGTATTCAAAATCATAAACAATTTTGTACTTAAAGTTACACTGAGAACATTTTCATTGGGCTTGTGGAGACTAAAGGAACTTTCAATGTATTTTATATCAGGATATAAAGGTTATAAAAAGAAAAATAAACAAAATTAAAATATTTTTAGTGTATTTCTAGCATTCCATGATCATTTTATGAAATTAGGAAAATATCAGAGTGTTTAGTAGTCTTTGTGGATATAAGTAGTTAGTTTGGTTTAAAAAGACGAAATAAAACTAGTTGGAACCAAATAACCATACAACACTGCCCATAATTATAATGACGTGTATGACTGAAATAAACCACTGAACGAGGTGAACCTTGCCAGTAAGAAAAACTCATAACGTCACACACCCTGAAATGGAAATTATTCTTTACAAGACGCCATCGTAATGACCATGTAACCTTACTTTTGAAAGGAAACCCTCCAAACATGGCTTATAATTTTTACTTCAGTCCATGTTATTACTTAATTGCAAGTCAAATACGAGCAATTAGGGTGTAATTAAATAAGATTAATCATTTTTATAAATAGTTTTTATTTTCCAAAATCAGCACTTTTCTCCTTCTTTAATAATTCTTTAGTAGCTACCTGCATCTTTGGAAAAGACAGAGAAAAGATGGAAACCTGAAACTTCATTCTTAGCTATAGTTATAACTATTATTGTACCTCTATATTCCTTGAATTATTTTTACTTTAAAGTGGTTACATTTTACTAATTGGAACTGATAGAACAAAATTTAAAATACTTGATATTTTTATATCAAATACTTCTTATGAAGTGTGTGTGTATACATATAAGATTATGTATATATATATTATAGAAACTTGGAGCGCAGCATATTTAATATCCTAGTGTTTGAGTTACCAGTACTAAATTTAATTTTTATTTTCTCATATTCATTGAAGTCAGGTGCTGATGGCTTTCTCCTAAGCAAATTGAGTGACAGAAGAAATCTGAATACATGAGACCGATAAAACAAATAGTCCCATATGTAATTGAAAAGGAGTTGTATATCTAAGTTATTTATATCAACACTTACCCATTTGTAAAGGGCAACTAAGACAACGTCAGATAAAGAATGGAGGCTACAATCTCCTTAGAAATTCTAAACGAGTGGTTTTGGAACTCTATTTGCCTCAGAGTCACCAGGAGGGCTTGTTAAAACACAGATTACTGGGTCCCAGTCTCTGGAGTTTGAGATTCAGTAAATCTGGGGCAGGGCCTTCAAAACTGCATTTCTAGCAAGATCCCACATGATGCTGATGCTGTTTGTCCAAGGAGTCAGGTTTCTGGCAGGTAATCAATACAGTTCTTCCTCAACTCTTTGTCTAATCCTTTCACCGCCATAGCCTTTCTGAGTTCCTCTCATAAATGTCAGAGAGCAGCTCTGACATTTCTGCTGTACAACTTTGTCAGCATCTCTCTTTCTCACATTCTTATTTCCTGGAGTTTTTCAAATAAATGATCTTCCTCTAGCTTTTCTTCTGATGCCTCCCTGATTATTTTTTTTTAAACTTTTTATTATGAGAATTTTCAAACACAAAGTAGAATAATGCAGTACACATCCATGTGCCCATTACAGAACTTCATCAATTGTCATCATTTTGCTAATCTTGCAGAAACAAGTGTTAATTATAATCAGAGATAAAACAGGATTCAAACTTTGTGGAAAAGAGTAAAATATACTTTTTTACCAGCAGTCAAATGGTGAAAGTGGGCAGAATCATTGCATGGTGCAACATGGAGGGTTAAGGTCCTTAACAGAAGGATGCATCCTGCATGAAAGGGGGTGGGACATATTTTATAGGCCCCTCTTCAAACTGTAGGAAGAATCAGGATCACAGCCTATCGTTTTTATTAGATTATGAAGTTAAAGAGAGCAGCAAAATCATTTTGGTGTAGCAGCAAATCAATGGATTATGTTGCTTATAGACAATCTCTTCTAAAATATTCCTCTGAAACTGAGAAGCTGAAGAAGGCTGATGAATCACCTATTTTAAACTGTAATTTTTGCTTTTCATGTATGTTTAAACCTAACACCTCTCTTTTAATAAGCCTCTACTGAAATATTCATTTGTGGAATCATTCTAGCAAGTTTTTAATGTAAATATTCAATAGTTTCTATAAAGAACTCTGTTTCTTTTTCCTGCTACAGTCCCTTCTTATCAAAATTGCTAATATGCTGTGTTACTTAGGCCTGCCAGTACTGGGTAAGTTAAAAGGAAAAGGGTAGGGAGAATTCTGTCTTTGTTGCCATCTGGCTTTTCTTCCCCTTCAAAACAAGGTCTCTTTTAATCTATCTAAAATTTTCTTTAGGTTTTTTCCACTTAAGCCGAATATCTTTGAGCCTTTTTTTTTTTAACATCTTTATTGAAGTATAATTGCTTTACAATGTTGTGCTAGTTTCTGCTGTGGACCTAGAGTCTGTCATACAGAGTGAAGTAAGTCAGAAAGAGAAAAACAAATACCGTATGCTAACACATATATATGGAATCTAAAAAAAAAAAAGGTTCTGATGAACCTAGGGGCAGGACAGGAATAAAAATGCAGACGTAGAGAATGGACTTGAGGACATGGGGAGGGGGAAGGGTAAGCTGAGATGAAGTGAGAGAGTGGCAGGGACATATATACACTACCAAATGTAAAATAGATAGCTAGTGGGAAGCAGCTGCATAGCACAGGGAGATCAGCTTGGTGCTTTGTGACCACCTAGAAGGGTGGGAGGGAGACGCAAGAGGGAGGGTGTATGGGGATATATGTATACATATAGGTGATTCACTTTGTTATACAGCAGAAACTAACACTACATTGTAAAGCAATTATACTCCCTGATTATTATTAATCCTGACTTTGTGCAGCTCTTGGACTCCCTGCTCTAGACATGTTAACTCCCCTTCTAGAAGAAGACTTATTTGATTAACTGATTTCTGTAAGTATCACACTGTAGCATTTAAATTAGGCTCAATAAAATGGTACTTAATCCTAAGGGAATAAGCCAAAATGTGTCATATAAATTCTACTGCATTTTACAAGAAATTTTTCCATTATTAACTTTAGAAAGTTAATTAATCTTCTGAAAATTGTTTTTGTAGAAAACAAAGAAAATAGGAATACAAATGCAGCCAATCACAGTTGGGTTCCTTTTTTTTTTTTTGTCTTATTTTCCTTGCCACTTAATCAGAATTTCAATAAACCATCTACCTTCATTAATTCAGACATGGCCTCTAATCAGATTCTTACTCCTTTACATCTTAAGTTCCCACAATGAGTCCTCATGGTGCTAGGGACCACTTCTGGGTTACTAGACATAGACTATGTCACACACATTTCTCCTCAAACTATATTCTGTATTTTGAATGTATTCACTGGGAAATAGGATTATTCTGTAATTAGAGCCTGTAGTCCCATCATTTATGTGTAGCCTTCTTGATAATAACAAAGAGAGAAAAACTTCCCCAGGCTTTACTAAGCATGAATATTTGCCAATGTATTGATTTAGCCGCATGGTGCATTTTACTTCTCCACTTACACTTAGTTTTTTAAATCTAATGTGGATTTATATTCAGATGTCTGATCTTGATGTCCAACTGTATTGTTCTCATTCAGGTTAAACTATAAGCTCATTGGGGCATAGCTTAATTTACTTTATATTGTAAATAACCTGGGGGGGGGGGTCATACCCAAATAGCTTTAATAATAATACTGTAGAGAGGCAAGAAAGCAAAATTTAATTCTATCAAGACCTCGTAAGAACCCATAACTTGGCTGCTCCAATTAGAATGAAAATAATATTTATCTTTTCTGAATGTTTAATTCTGCAGGAACTATGCTAAGTGCTTCGCATATGTTAACCCATTTAATCCTCACTGCTAACCTATGAGGTAGGTACAGTTATTATCTCCCATTTCATAGGTAAGAAAACTGAGGTATAGAGATTTAATGAAGTCCTTTGCAATGAAACATAACAAATGGTTGGTGGAACAAACCTATTCCTTTAATCACCATTTTACTGTCTATGAGGTATTTATTACTTTACTTAATAACTCTAGTCATGAGATCTATAAAGTACTTTTTATTTAAAATAAAGATTGTTATAGAGTAATAAATATATTCAAATGGAGGCAAATATCCAATAGATTGAACTGCTTACTTCTTTTTTTAAATGGAAAAATAATATTTATTAAACCCTTCCAAAGCTGTTAAAGAATAAAATATATACCAGATGTGAAAGTCCTTTTAAAAAACAATACAGAAAGAATACATAACGTTTGCTTCAGTTATGATTACATCTCATACAGTAATAAGCTCTTTGTTTTGTGTGGTTTCACATTCTTGTGAAGTAGGCAGGGTAGGCATTTGTGTCCCCATTTAGCAGATGTAGAAACTGAGGCTCAGGAAGCCTAAGATCCACAATTGATAGGTGATAGAGGAGACCTTGCCTTCCGAGTCCTCGTGGCCTGATTCTCCCTCCCAACTGCTTATTTCTTGCTGGGAATGTTTAAGTTAGGGACC